TTTTTTTTTTTTTTTTTACTGTTTAAGTGGAAATTACTGCACCAGGGAGGTGCACTTCGTCCTGTGCTGAGTGTGATGGATTCTTTAGGAACTGTTGTCTAGCTTGCCTTGCATCTCCAAGTGTCAGCACATAAAGTAGACATCTATCATCACCAATTAATCCTATCTAAGAAAATTCCTTCAGTCTGTTCAAGCTGACAGATGCATTTGTCATTATGATATTATAAAGYATCTCCCAAGTTTCTCTCTTTCGCATGGAAACCACCAAAGCAGTTTGTTTAGGAGACAGCGTTCTCATAATAAACTTTGTCTTGGTACAGTTATCGGATATTTTAATGGTATCTTCAGTTCTTGAATATTTTATCTCTTTGGTGTATATGAGGTCTAAACAGTTTTGCATTCAGGCAATTTTCAAAGCAAATGAGCAAAGAAATTATTTTATTGCATTTGGTTCAGTACCTAACACTGACTTGTAAGTTAACTTGTATGCTCAGAAAGCTACCTGAGCACTATCAGATACCCAACTCATTCTCATATTAATATAAACAGTTTTTACTCAAATGGTCCCTTGTATTATTAATGAACTTGTACTTTTTAATGTTGTTCCTTTATCAGTTCAGAAGTTCACTATACAGAGTTCAATGCACTTTGAACTTAGAGGTCATTTCTGAAGGTTTATCAAAACTTGCAAAAAGACTTTCCTCCAGAACATCTTATGAACTATTTAGGGACCACTTAGGCCAGTGGAAATTAGATAGAAATAATTAAACTTTCTCTCTAACTCATCTTCAAGTCATCAGTGTTTTTCTTACAATATGAAGCTTCTTCAATTCTTCCAGAAAAAATTTCCAGAAAAATAATTATATGCCTGCTTTAAGTAGGTTATGTAAGAGGTGATTTCTGGCAAAGAAAAGGGGAAAAGGGGCTGCTTATAGGTCACTATCAGTGTTTTTTGAGGGCTGCCTCCTCAAAAAAAATCATCTTMTATTCTGGTAGTGATCAATTTACTCTTGAACTGGGGTCTTGCACAACATACTTGTGACAACAAAGGTTTAGGTCAACTAGGAATATTTTGGCAACTTGATTTCTACCTATAATCATCTGCTGTTTGTACTATGCTTATCACTTATACCTAAAAGCACCTACTTCATTAAAAACACAAGTATTTAGCTACAAACTAAAAAGAAAATATAAAAGATATTAGCTTAAATCTCACATGACATATGTTATATACATTTCTCTTATATAAACTTCCTAAAAGAAATGTAATGTCTTTGCCACTATTGGAACAAGTATTAGCTAATTGATTTGTAATACGGATTTTTTTTTTAACTTGTCTGATTGTTAAAATCCAACCTCAGATAAAATACTAGTAATAACTTTTTTTTTAAATGTAAGTAAAAGTATTTTCTTAATTAAGCAAAACTGAATTTTATACATATATTTTAAAGAATACTAGAGGTACTTACTGATCTTTGTACCTCTTTTATTATTACTGTTTCAACTGGTATCACTTTATTAGTAGAGTTCATAAATTAAAAAAAAAATAGGATTGGTATTAATTTGGAGGAAGCYTGTAGTATGATTAAACTGAAAGATTCCTTGTAGGCAAACTTTGATGGTGAAAACAAGTCAGACTATGTCAACTTTGAAATGGTGTAAAGAAATACTGTATAATTTATTATTAAAATTGCATTCATCAAAACTCTGATGATATCTGATTGCTGCTAGATCATCCACAGAGAAAGCTTTTCTTCTTTACTTCTGCTGTTTTTTTCAAAACAATCCTATTCAGGATATATGAGTTCTAATCCTTATTTTGCTAGAGGCTTTAGCTCCCTGTGCCCTGTAATATAAAGTTATATATTATATAAATATTTGTTCATTTTTATGTATATAAAAGTACACATACATGCTCTTTCTATGCTAAAGTGATTTCAGTACTTTCAGACATTTATCTTGGATGCTAAAAAAACCTAGTGCCACAAATTTTAATTGTAGAACTATTTTTCAGTCAGAAGTTTTATATTCATTTTCTAGGTATTTTTATTTGGTTTCTGGACATTTTGTTAACCAGAAATGAGTAACATATTATTTTGCTGTATTTTTTACATCTAAAATTCTATCCTCATTTTTTTCAACCTTGGGAAAACCATTTTTAAACTTCACGTACCTGGTGCCTGGGCCTCATGTTTTCTATGCAATGTCATATTTCACTTGTTTTTTTCAGCTTCACTGTCTGTTTTCTCTGGGAACCGTTAAGAGTTGAGATGCTAATGTACTTGCAGAGACAAAAAATACTCTCAGTTATTCCCTTAAGGCTGCCAAGTAGGTAGGAAAACCTTTAATAGCTTCAGCTTATCTTTTGTTATATGTTGTTGTTTCAGGTTCAATGGATCCAAAGGACTTTCTGAGAGAAGCGCAAATAATGAAGAACTTGAGACATCCAAAGCTAATACAGCTTTATGCTGTTTGTACTTTAGAGGATCCAATTTTTATTATTACTGAGCTGATGAGATATGGAAGTCTTCTAGAATATCTTCAAAGTAAGCAAACAACTATAAACTCATTTTAAGGGATGCCACAGCTTTGGGTTTACTGGATGAACTAACATAAAAGATAAAAGTACAACACTGATTTAATATAGAAGAAGTGGCTGTATTTGCTGGGGATGGGATAGGAGAAAGAACAGGCTTATGAATTTTTGACATACCAAATTATTTTAGAAGATGTAGGAGAGAATCATTTTTGCAGTTTGATTCTTGCCTCATAATGACCCACATTTTTCTGCCCCCTTCTACTAGTAGGTAGGAAGTTACACACACAGAATAAATAGATATGCCTACAGAAAGGAAGATCATCATATTTGATATGCAATGCAAGCACTTCCACAAAATGCACTTAACAGCTTTGAAATCTATTACCAGGCAGGGAAACACTTTCGTGTATGTTTGTCCCTTGCCTTTCACATCAGGGCTCTTATCTCAGCAGGACTTCAAAGTACTCTTTTGAAGGCAAATAACAGTTAAAAAATAAAGTTGTACAGCCTGGAACAGACTAGCATAGTGATTGCACTTCAAATTCTTTGCAGCTATTGAGAAAATGCTGATCCTAATGCTGTTCTCCATTTTGAGTTTAGTGAATGCCTYTGAAATGTCTGTAATGTTGTAATGATCTTTTGAAGGTAAAATGTTTACTCTGGTTCCCTTGGAAAGTTTCTTTTCCGCTTCCAACCAATAAGGCAAAGCCCTGTGAAATAYTGTAGACAGTATCTACACTAACACACACTTTCCCTCATCCTCGCTGCAAAACCATTTTTTAAGGGAGGCTCACTCCAGAGACAATTACAGCTAAAGAAATATCCATTAGAGGGACAGCCCCTTTAGGAACTGTGAAGACCAGAGGCACAAGGAACTTGAGCAAATCATCTAAAGTTTTTTAGATATTTAAGGGCCAAAGTAGTGAAGTACTTAAATTTTCTTTAGCTTCTGATCTTTGAGTACTTTGTGTGCGGAGTGACACTTGCCTGATTGAAGGAACCCAGCACATCAAGAAAATGATTGCTGTGCATGAAAACATTTATTGTGTGGGAGAAAAAGCTCTGAGAAAGTCAGGATGAATCATAGCTATTACAAAAGTGAAAATTGGCCTCTCTTTTTGCACAAAGTCTGAAATGCCCGGGACACCTCAGTGCTGCAGCCCACATGTAGATCAGTTGCCAGCCTATCCACAGCAGCTGCTCTTGTCATAAGCAGGATGTGAATGCAGAATGATCTGGTCCAAGGCACTGTAGTCCTCTGTCAGAGTGAAAAGTCAGTCTGGACAGCCATCAAGACAACAGTAAAGTGGCCGGTTGAGAGCAGCCTAGTGGTGTCCCTCCTTGCATGGGGACAAACAGAACAGACAGGTTGAGGCAGAGGTGGATATAGATATCAGTGGATAAAAGTCACTGTTGTCAATTAGCATAATTAGATGGCTTGCATCTGGATCTGTATTGGCAATGTATAGCCTGATAGACATTCTTAAGATTCAGCCACCTCAAAGTCTAGGAAAACTTTTGCACAGGGCTGCTAATTCTRTTTACACTAAGGATCAACATGGCAACCTGGAAAAGAGGGAAAGTCCAGGGATTATTTTGTTCAAATATCCCCTCATAGAAATGCCTGGCTAAACAAGCAACCAACCAACCAAACAAAAGAAACCTTGCAAGGTGATGCTTTGTGCATGGCAACTATCATATTCTAACAGAAAGATGTAGCAGCAAGGGGCATGTGGCCTCCCTGCATGCACTGAGGATGTGCTTTGGTATATTGCATGATGGACACAGCTGCACAGAGTTACTGAGGTGCCACCAATATGAGAAAAATGAAACGGGAAGCCTTCTTCATAATTGGATGTGAATGAAAGTGTCATAAATGTATGAATATTTTTATCAGTTGTGATAGACTTGAGACTTGCTCTAGCAGAGACACAGTCTTGAAATCTGGTGAATTATTACCAAGGCAATGTTCTCAGCAGGGGAATGCGTTGTTTAATTTTTTTTTTTTTTTTTTTTTTTTTTTTTTTTTTTTGGTCTTTTCTGTCAGTGACAATGTTTTCCTGTCTTTTCTAAGTGAGATACTGTGATTGATTGATTAGAACAAGGTGCAGACCTGAGCCTTCTTTAACATTTTTCTGTAATACATTTTTCATATAAAGGAGATGGTTTTGTCAAATAGTATTAGTAAAAAAAAGGACAGAGTGATGCTGCATTTTCTTTATATGATAACGAACAAGCTTATGTAATTTAATCAATAGTGGCTGGTTTTGAGTGTGAAAGTTATACCAACTTTTCTGTTTTGTTGTCGTTTTCCCTCTAGAGAACAATTAGAAACAAACTTACCTAACAAACTCGAATGCAGATTTCTTGCTCCTATTCCCTGCTCTGAACAAGCTAGATGGGAAGTAGCTCTTGTCTGGAAATTTCTGCAGCACTGTTGCAGTGCTGTGCTTGAACTTGTGCAGTTTGCTGGCCAAACACCCTGGGCTGCCAGACGTGCATTCACGGATCTTCCCCACTGCCTCAGCCCTCGTGCTAGGAGTTGCTGTTCAGCCTGACTTGGGAAAAAAAACCTCAAGCTTTCAGCTGCAACTTGACCTAAGTAGGTGGCTCTCTTYAACACAGTGCCTCTGAGTGTCCTCTTGCACTAGACTAGAGAGGTTATTAAAGGCAAGGCTTATGAATCACCCTTTGGCCATGCCAGTGTTATCTCTCGGGTTCCTGTTTGGAGCAAACGTGTGAGGTCAGCACAGCAGAGCATGGGCTTCAAGCACAGCCTGAGGCTGGATGAACTTCTGCTTGTGTCTGTTCCTTGTCTGCTGCCACCAAGAGGTAGTTCAGCTTGTGCAGATGAAGCAGCATTGGGCAAGGCCACATCGGGGGMAGGTTTTAACTCTGGGTCACTGCTCTGGGTTACTTTACAAAGTACTTTCCAAAACCCATGTGCTCTCTCATAGGTACTCTGTGTCTTTAGTTACCTTCTGATTTAATGCAAAATATGCTTCATTCATGGACTTATATCTTTGTTCCACAAGCTGAAGAGTGAATGTCTGACAGTTATCAGGACTGGAAAATTTCAGAGCACTATATTGTTCTGTGCCCTGATGATGGATTTTCTTGATGGTTAAGCCATAGTTTGTCACATAGCTTGATTTTTCTCCATCTCTCTTTTAAAGGTCAAGACTGCTATCAAGGATGTGTGCAGGGAGGAAAAGAGTTTCTGAGTCAATACTAGAAGTAAATAATCTCAGTGCTGGATAATCATGACAATGAGTTTAACCTCGAAAAGGAAGTAGGACAATACATAGGACAAATTKAAACATCTAAAATTCATTTTTCTTACCTATTCATCTCAGAACATTCAGATGAGCAGGAAATTCAAAGCCTGGAGATTGCAGAATAGATTGGTAAACAATAGAATTTCACACTCTTCATAAGGAGTGATTGCAAGGTTAGGTCAGATAAAATGCCATAACTGAAGGAAGCTATGCAAAACAATGCTAACACACCGTCAATACAAATCAATTCAAAATAAGCAGCAGAATGCTGCCAGCTACAAATGATTTATTTCTTTAACCCAGAGGTACTAAGGGGCATTGACCATAGTCAGTGAGAAAGGAGAACTGTCAATGCATACAGCAGCAAATACAAGTTTTAGGTATAAGCAGGATTTTGAAATAGAGAGTTGAAGTTTTTTAAGAATTAGAGGCTGCTGTGACAGGCACTTACGCTTTAGTGCTGCAAACTCCGGATTAGGATGGCTGATGCTGAATTTAACACTGATTTGGTTTACTTGGATTACCTAACTGTATGAATTCTTTGCTATGATGAGTTCAGCTGTCCCCAAAGTGTCACAAAGACCCTGAATGTAAATTCTAATGTGTTATGCTCCAGTTGCATTTTTTGTTATCTGTCTTACTATTTATGGCTGCAGTTTTTCATGGCCCTAAGGCTCCTTCATTTGTGGAGGCAGCTTGTTCTGCTCAAAGTTCTTTTACTGCTTTGTCTAAACACCCTATCTGAGATTGCCAAGTCTCTATTTCTGGGACTTGCTGATCATACAGTGGTGTGAATGGCATGCACGTTGCTGCAGAAAATTCTACCAAAGAAGCAGGCAGCTTGAAAGCAACTCAAGGAGTCTTAGTATTGAGGAACAGCAACAGAGATAGCAGCATGAAGCAGTCAAGTGGACTTGAAAGTGAAAATGAGAGTTACACTTGACAGCAGATGGTTTATTTCCTAGTAAAAATCATTGGAGAATGTGGAGCAAGGCTCATTTTGTGCTTTTCCCTCTTCAATCTGCTTTGGCRCTACCCAGTGAGTACTGGCATTAGTTCTTAATCACATTTTGGAACCCATTGTGCTCTTGTTAAAAGGAAAAAAAAAGTACAATGCTGTCAGTAGATAAATGCCATTTTCTTTGTAATGTTTCAACAGCTTCTTCTAGACCTATATCAACTGTTGAATTTCGTATCTACATTTTAATTCAAGTTTGGAGAGTCACTGTTAGTCAATTGAAATAAAACTTAGATGTGTGACTATGTAGTGTCATTTACTCCATGGCTAGCATTTGATTGGGCTCTTCTTATTGCATTGCTTGGCCTTCTCAAGTATGTTGGCTATTTGGACCAGTGAATGCTGTGTTGTTTATAGCTGAATAACACAGATGTTATGTTATCCTTGTCTTCTTTTGAACAGATGATGCAGGCTCCCAGATCTGTCTGACACATCAAGTAGACATGGCTGCTCAGGTGTCTTCAGGGATGGCTTACCTTGAATCCCAGAACTATATTCATCGGGACTTGGCAGCCAGGAATGTCCTTGTTGGTGACCACAATGTTTACAAAGTGGCAGATTTTGGGCTTGCAAGAGTTTTTAAGGTGGGTTGTGAGAAGATGAATCAGCAATTTGAACTTCTCCATTTTAGCTCTGGGAGGAAATAGGTCAGCTAAATATGAACTGTGAAATCTGAATTAGTAGTGTTAAGCAAATGGTATGTCCTCAACTCCTGCAGTGTCCCTGGTCTTGTATTCCCCAGTGCAAGTTTAGAAGCTGGCCTGTGCCAGAGCCATTCCCTAGACTGCAGTCCAGTCTTTACTTCCCATTCAAACATTGAGAAAGGAGCCTGGTAGCCTCATACCCTTTGCTGCACAAACTGCCCCCCCAGGGCCAGTGTCTGGCATATGGCCAGACGGCAGGAATTATGGCAAGGATTATATTCCTGAGTTTGTAAAGGAAGGCATATARGAGTCTATTGACAGTTATTCTATTCCTTATTCACTGCCTCTGTGGTGCCTGGGAATACAGATTGCTGTTATAAAAAGGTCTTACTCCCCTGTACAGGCAACCACAGAATATAAGGTAAGCTCTCAGACATTTAAATCTGATGCACTTTCAAGCTCCTTGCCATTGTGCAGGTATTTTTTTCTTTTGTGTTTGAAGATATGAAATGCCCAGTAATGATGCCTGGGATTGCTGCAGTTTAGAAATGAAATTTCCTACTCCTTAAAAGGATTTGATCAGAGCTGGGAAGATTTGGCTGCTGAATTTTATGGTTTTCAACATGCAGTCTATAATTTGTGAGGTCTCATTATTGTTTTTATTGATTATATTCCTGCACTGAGAGTGAAAAACAGAGAAAAAAAGAAATTTCCTTGGCTTTTTGATTTGTTTGTTTTCTATACAAGAAGCCCAAATTGATGTTCATAACAGACTTGGATTTACTACATGTCAAAGTGTAAAATAATGGCTAGACAATGGCGTCAAGAGATTTTGAATGTGCTTTTTGCTTGATTTTCATTCTCATATTTATGCATTAAGATGAGATTGCACTTTTTCTTAACATGAAAAATATATATCTTAAATGAACTATGCTTACAGTGCTTACTATTCTCTTTGGAGAGGTAATAACTTACTGGTTTTGACATTACTYATTAAAATTGAACTTTTCCAAAATACTCTGTCATAGAGCAGTCTTACCAGATTTTCTTAGGAATGTTATGGCTTCTAAGCCGAAGTATTAATGTGATCATATACCAAGATCCCAAAATGTTAAGCAAGAGAAGTAAAATACAGAGTGTTAATTATTATTATTCCTTGTTCCCCTCCCCCAGAGAAGGGGGTCAAGATGGCAAGTGTATCAGTACCTAGGTACAAGACACCAACAGTCAACAGACAAGATCTAATCAAAAGTGCAGGAAAGGACATTATAGCTAGGAAAGAGCACATTCTGCATTTAAATCAAAACAAATCAAAATGCCTGTACATTTATCTAATTTTGCATGTGGTGAACCTGACAAAAGCCTAGGTGTGGATGGTATTCACTAAGCTACATTTAGGAGTCAGAGACGTAATAAATGTTCCCCAAGTTTAGATATCTGTACTATAAAGCTTTAAGGACATGAGCATATGAGTAAAGGAAGTCAAGTTGCAAGTAAATGATTTTCCCTTTTCTGTATGTCTGTCGTCTTCACTTAGCATGAATTAATTGGAAGCACTGTAAGCTAATATGTTAATTTAAATCACTTGGAGTTTGTTCTGTGATCCTGAAACTTGCTTAAGTGATTGTTGCAAAGTCAATGGCCCTTCAGCTCTGCAATAAATCACACAAAACAATGGTTCTGAAATTCATTTAGTTCTTGCTTTTGCCTTCTCCATTTATTGAAGACCAGACATGAAGGCATTTGGTCTCTAGTGTCAGCAGGATGCTTACACTGCCACTTCTGGCAGAAATCCTCATGCAAGATCCAGAATTCACAGTAGCAGGTCATAATTAATCACAAGCCATTCCAGCTCTATATGCTCACTTGAAATGATAAATGCTTTGGAAAAGCATCTTATGAACAGCAGTGTTCCTCAACTRTAAATTCCATTTCAACAAAAGACTTCATTAAGTGCCTACTTTAATACTCTTAAATGCAAGTGATTGACTGAATGAAAGGGTAAGTTTAAGCACATGCCTAGCTTAATGTGGGGCTTACGTGTTTTACTGAACAAGATCCTAATTCAAGTTTGCTTTGTTTTAATCATGACAGGTAGAAAATGAAAACATATATGAAGCTAAGCATGAAACGAAACTCCCAGTGAAATGGACAGCCCCTGAGGCAATCCACTGCAATAAATTCAGCATTAAGTCCGACGTATGGTCGTTTGGAATACTACTATTTGAAATAATCACTTATGGGAAGATGCCCTATGCTGGTGAGTATTTTTGCCTAAATAATGCTTTCTAATTACTTTTTTTTGCTTTAAAGGAGAAATAAAAAATTGAATGTTGAACTACAGCCAAAGGGTTAAACCTGTAAATAGGGAACGAATGGTGCCCAAACGAGGCCCATTTAGTAGGTCAGACCTTCTGGCTGCCTCCGGCTCCTTGGAAGCTCTCCAAAGCCAGTGAACATCATTCATGTTTGGTCTTGCTGGAATCAGCTTGCATTTCACAGGCACCTAAGCCAACTGGCTATATCCCTTAGGCATCAGATCAAAGATGCCAACTGCTGCAGTATGGAAGGACAGAATATAATGTGCAGAGTGCCTTTTCAGGAAGGAGCTATCTTAAAAAAAGGAACAGGACTATTTCTCCACTCTCTTTTGTATTTGACTATAGCAGTGAAAACACTTCATAATGAGAAGGATCACCAGAATTAGCCATAAAATTTCATTAACCTCAAAAAAGTAGATTACATACTTTAATAACTAGTATTTCTGGCACTCTGAAAAATGTTCAGGGAACTGTGACTCCAGTAACACAAGATAGCAATTAAATGATTGACTGTGACTTTGTGCTTGTGAGGAGAACCCAAGGGAAGGACTGATGCAAAGRAACTTGTGCTGCATCTATACAGCCCTGAAAGCTGATACATTTACCATAAACTACATTTCACAGGGTCCCAAACTGACCTCATTTCACATAGAAGGAAAAAAGAGAATTTTTCTTTTTTGATTCCCACCCTCACCTCCAGTGAAATCATTTGGAAGAAATAAAACCAATTTTTAACTTGGTTTATACTTACCCACAATTCCTATATATAGATATGTAGGTAAGCTTCAAATATAAATTATATAAAATGCTACGGTTCTATGGGCTTCTGTTAGTGCACTCAGTGTTATAGCTTGTGAAGGCACAACTTACATGTAACTTTATGGTTGACAATGTCCTGTGCCGAGGTTGTTTGACTTGCTGATATCACTTGAAGAAGTAATCAATTATCTCAATAATCAGTTAAGAGAAAAGGTTATGCTAAATCACAGTTGAAAGTTCAAGCTCTGGTACCCTGTGAGGGTTCAAATGCTGAAGATCAAGTGTTTTCCATTGATTATCTTAACAGAACCTCAATTATTGCTGTATTAATTTAAAAAAAACACAGTGGATGCTGTGGATGGATGACAGGGAAAACTTTTTAAATGTGAAAAAAAATTAGCAATGGGATAGATCTTCTTGGGAGAATTTAGAGTCACTGAGAGCAGAAGGTCTAAGGAGCAGATTAAGTGAAACATATATCAGAATTATTTGGGTGAAGTCTGCATGGTGGAAAAGCGCTTCCTGAGACAAACTCATTCAATGGGCCTCTCGAGTGGTGTAGTGGATTTCAAGTGGTGAAATTCATTTCCACTGAATTGTTCTCAGCTCTGCCTGTATGTATGTGTGCTTCATAGGCGAAGAGTTGACCACCTCTACCAGAGACAGGGACATGCAATCCTGTGTGTGCCTAAGTAGACCCTARATATTTTGATAAATTCCTTCTGTCTTGAAAACACCTGCAGGTTTGGCAGGACACCAGGTGATCCAGATGCTGGATAAGGGATACAGACTTCCTCAACCAAGCAACTGTCCAAAGCGGCTCTACGATATCATGCTGCAGTGCTGGAAGGCAGAGGCCAAGGAACGTCCCACATTTGAAACCTTGCAGTGGCAGCTGGAAGACTATTTTGAAGTGGATGGTTCATCCTATGCAGATACACATACTGTTATAAAATGAACCCTGAGTGAACCTGACTGGAAGAGTTGCTGTGAAATCAATTTAACCTCAAATGTAGAGCTTATTAGGTGAAACTAATTTGGTACATTTTCATGCCTGTGTCAAAACTGAAAGAAGTTTCAAATTTTTTGCTGGTGATGAGTGTTTTGCAAGACTAAGCATCAGAAGGCTAGAGAAGTGGGGCTTCTAAAATATAAGTTCTATTTATTTTTAAATAACAGATCACCAAAATGAACAAACAAAATGAATGTTGTTCAGCAAGCATTGTAAAATTTCATAGTTTCTTTATTGCAATAATTACATTTTGTTCCTTAAATTTTTAATTCCTTTCAGTTTATTCTTATGAAGGAATCTGATTGCTCTGTGCACAGCAGGATCTGTGCTTGGCGAGTTTTCTTACTGAAAAGAATAATCCTGTGACTATGTCAATGACAAAAAAACAAATTGATTGCCTGGCTTAGACCTTCAGTACATCTGCCTTTGCAGTGTAAGCAAATAAAATATTCTTGTTGTAAAAAAAAGGGGTTATTTTGTTTTTTGGTTGTAAGAATCTGTCTCGCAAGAATGAATACAAATATTATTAGACTCTTAATGCTGAATATCAACTAATGTTATTGAACAGATGGGTTATTCTCCACTGAGTGTAAGGATTTGTTTTATAGTTCATCAAGTTGAGAAATGTTGGGGGAAAAGCTATCTTTAAATGAAATCAAGACTACCTTCACGTCTTAGATTGAATTTCATCCCACTCTGCTGGCCAAGTTACCAAACTTCTCTAACATAACGCTTGGGCAGGTCTGGGTATTTTGCAGAGCTAGCAATTCATGCTTCCATCTTCTCCAGATGTAACTTTAATAAAGTAGATTTAAATAACAGATCATGCAGTTTATTTTGTTTCATGGGAAGATGGAGCCCAGGTACTTCTGCTTCTGTCTTTAAGATTACAGATCTTAGAAGTTTTTTCCAGTTCTTTAATTGAAGTATCAGTTCTGCTAAAAGTGGAAATGATTGGGATAATTTTATATTCTCAATTGTGGGCTTTAGAGAACCACGTTTCACTTATTTACTTATGAATCACCAGTTAATTATTTAACATAATCCAGGAATTAATAGCTGTATTGTGTTCACATAGTGTGGGCTGAATATGTGTGCTATCATTTTCTTCAGTAATATGTGGTGTCTACACATATGGTCTGAAAAAGGTGTAAATAAATGAAGATTCATTCCTTTAAAGCTGGGATCACTTTTATTGCTTCTGTTTTTTATTATTTCCTTTTCTTCWTATACTTCAAAGCCATTCATCTCAGTGCCTTGCTTCTAATTTTTAATTTCCTTTTTTCCCTCCTCTATTTTGGAAGGTAGCACGCTTTCTTTTATTTCCCCCCACGCACAGCTCAGAACTGAATTTCTTACTTATTTTCTGCTCTATCTTACTATGCTTGTCTTACTACCCTTATATTTTCTCATATTCTGTTTCTGTTCACCTTCATTTTCTGGACAATGTTTCTTCCTAGTAGCACTCACTATACTAATTAAATTTGTAAAGCATAATACAGCAACAATTAATTAGCTGTCATAATATCCATGAAACTTTGGAGAGTCACTATCCGCTCTGAAAGGAGAGGTTAAATACTTTGGCCAAATCCATCCTGATAAGAATCGTCTCTGAAGGAACTTGACTTGGAATTAACTTTGCTCCCTTGGAATTAACTTTGCTCCCAGGGAAAGTCATGTGCTGTAATACATGTGTCTCTTCTCTGGCTAGAAGCTATGTCAGCGTCATTACAGTATGAGGTTAGCAAATTCTAAAGAATACTTTTAAGCAATAAGAGTACTGTTCCTTTGTAGAAAGATCTCGGAGTCAAACTTTTAATCTTGATGTCAAGAATACTTTCCGGGATATTGTCCAGGATATTTTTTCAAGCTGAAAACATTAAGAATGTTGTAAATAAAAAGTTGATTTTTTTCAATTTTCTCAATTTAAGTAGAAAATCAATACTAATTAAAGAAGTAAAAATTTAAAAAAATGTGTAATACAAAAGTTTTTTTTTCTCCAAAAATGAATTGCCAAGAAAGTGAAGTCTGCAGTAGGGAAATAGCAAAGTAATCACAATTCCAAATTACCACACGTGGTCCAAACTGCTCTGTCCAGTCCCTATCTTTTGGTGGAAGTAAATGTGACAGTACAGTACCCTTAAATGCCTCCTCCATTGAAGTAACACCAATAATTCTGAAGAAAGTGGATCTATATTTCWAGGAAGCAAACATCAAAGTGTATCTGTAGTTCTAGGAAACATGTTCCTAAACTAGCATGTAGGACCCAGAAAGGCTATCCATTTTGTTCAGGATAGATGTCTTATCTCCTTAGTTATTCCTATAGTCCAAAGAGAGAGAGATAGAAGCTCCTTTAGATGCTGAATCAAAGTATCAAAATTACATTTCTTCTTTTAATCATCCAAGTGGACTTTTCTTCTGTCTGCTGAGTGTGAAGGTAGTCAGAAGAAATGAGCCTCTTAGGTAGAAGTGTGTGAGTTAAAGTAGCTGGTTGCTGGGAGTACAGACCTGCCTGGAGTATATGCCGGCCCAGAACAAGGGACAAGTAGCTTCCCTGTGTGACAATGTGATTCACCTTTGTGACTCTCATTCTCAGCACTACACCAAATGAATTATTTTGTCTTCATCTTTGAGGCAACATCCTCCCTAAGGCTTCTTGGAGCACCATGACCAAAATATCTCTCCAGCCTCAGCAGCTGGGACATCTGGCTCTCACTCCAGCTGCTCCATCCTCCCTGGGTTGAAGCCACATGTTTGGCATCTCCTAGGCAAAGTTGTACCAGTCGCTGGAGAAGGCAGAGGAGTGCAGCCAGCACCCAGTAAGGACAGTCAGACCATCAGGTAGGTAGTGGGGCAGGATGCTCATTGTCTCTTGCACAGAGCTGCTGGGACAAAGCCTGGTGCCTGGCAGTATCCCTTTGCCACTATCAACAGGCCAGCTGAAACTGCAGGTGTTGTTGCAAGAGCCAGTGGTTTCTTGTTCTGGCATAAATCTGTGCACTTACCTCCTTATTTTTGCTTGTCCCTAAAGCCAATCCTTGTATAATAGTTAAACTATCCCACTCTAATGGAGCTCTGATTTTGGATCTCTTTTTCCTTGGGCTTGTCCCTTCTGAACAAAGGAGACAAAAATCTGCAATGGAATGGAATCAGCAAAGCAGTGGAAATAAAAAGTGATATGAAAAATTAAATACTTGTTCTCAGTTGTTTCCTTCTCTGTATATTCACAGTSAAAGGGATTCATTACTGGGAAAGGCTGGAGGAAGAAAGCGACAAAGAGCAATAAACCTTGATAGAATTCAGTTTGCTTACAGGCAATGCAACAAGCAAAACTATACCTTTCCAAGTCCAATCCATTTAATAATGATTTTATTTATATGATAGATAACAATTACTGTCAGAAGTCTTTGCTATGACTTGATTTAAATTAAATAGCAAGGTTATCATTTCAAGTTATAGTGCACAGTAAGATGGGTTTAACTTATTTTATTCTGGAGGCCTTTTATGTTCAAGGTTCTGCTAGAGCTATCTATTGCACTTGTTTTTACCTGATGGATCATGGAGGGAAAATAATGGTTTCAGTTATGAGAAACTGTAATAGATTTTTTTTGAACTGACATAAATTTCTGTGTTTAGATAGAATAAAAGGATCAGGAAGAGATAAGTTGAATTTTTCTACAATAGACCAGTTCTTGTAAAATTCACTTCACATAAATTGCACTGAGACATTTTTTATATAATTTTTATTTATGTAATTCAGTTATTCTTCAAGAACTAAATCATTTTATGTGGTCCTACAAGAGATGATTTTGACATAGCTTAAAACTATCCAATCAGAAAGGAAGAATCTCCATTTTTCTTAAATTGCTCATTCTTCCAAAGTTAAGGAGCAATGCAATTCTATTCCAAACTGCAAATATTAGTGGGTACCTGCACTTAATTTTTGATTCTTATAGGAGAATCTTTGCTCAGATTATCTTAATTCAGGAACATATGTAAGCAGAGTAAATGTGATAGGGCAATAGGGTGTCTTCCATCACTGCTGACATGTTTTTCCATTTATTTATTTTTTCTTATTGTATCATATCCTCTCTGAATAGCCTGAAGAGAAACAGCAGTTTTCTGTGTGGACTTATAACCTACATTTTGCAAGGAACTGCATCAGTGTATGACTGTAGTTTGGACCCAATAAACTGCTGGTGTATGTGCCTCACACACTTATCCAAATGATTTACTTCATAWGCTCTGGTTATATTTCACTCATTTTAAAAGTACTGTAGCTTCCTGTCCAGTGGTGTCCCCGTGGTTTGTGACTGTAACTGCTCACAGTGTATGACGGATCATGGAAAAGATAAAATGCTGCATGTTTAAGTTGTGCCCCTGTGCTCAAAGAGCTCCAGATGTTTGCACCTCTGTGCAAAGCCAAGTGGTTGCCGTCCTGCATGGTGAGCATCTGTGCCAGATGTATTCTCCAGTGTGTGATGGACCCCATGATTCATTCCCCTTCTGGAAAAGTTTGCCAGAAAAATAATCTGCATACATTTGAATAACAGACTTACCATTAATGAATCCATGTGACTTCTTTTTCAGCCYGAAGCTTCTCAGAAATCACAAATATAAAACAAAAAGATCAATATGAGACATGACATGTGTAAACAAGGTAAGGAAATGACTGAAAAGTGCTGTGGCACTTAATCTTCACAGCTACAGTGCAATGAAGAATCCACATCTCCCTTATATAGGCCAAGAGAAAATGAAAATGTACATTTGAAATGCTTGGTCGTCTAGAAAAGAAACGTAGCCAGTCCCTGGATCTAAGACATCACTAGACTTGAGGAACCGGAGAGAAATTGTACCTTGGTTCCCATCACTCATTTCAGCAAAATTAGCTCTGTTAAAATGAGGCAGATATGAATGAGGMGTGGTTTGTGACAACTTATTTCTCCCTTCCCCTCCATTCTTTATCAGTATTATACAGMAGGATTAGGACTCCCACAGTTTAAAAGAATATTCTGATTACATCAACAGCTGAACAGAGATTGTATTTTTTTTTCAAGTAAAAAAAAAGGTGTCTTTAAGATTATTCCTGAAACTACCTCTCAAGAAGTGAAATGTAGAAAGAGTTTATCACACTTTTGTGATTATTCATGTCCTTGAATATTCAAGGAAGAAGCATTTTGGAGTGAACAGTTGCTGCTGAATTTATAAAAAGCACTCTCTGGATAAGCTGACTTTACTATTTACACTATTAAAGAAAACAAAAACATGTTGCCCCACATTCTTTCCTGTAATTTCTTTGATATGAATATCTGAATATGCTGATTTTATTTCTATTTTTAATATACTGTATAACTTAAATATATAAATACAGCAACACCACAGTAAAATTATATTTCTATTTTCTGCCTCTCTGTGCAATTGAATAGTTATATCTCTCTGCTTAGCATAGTATTTAAACATCTTTTTGTTATTAGCTAGATTTTGCATTTTGCATTGTTTTTCTCTCAAGTTTTTTCTATTCTATTCTATTTCTTTGGGTTTTTTTCTACTTCTATGTTTTTTACACTCTGTTTAGTTTGATTGTATTGAAAACCAC